CATTACTTACTAGAAAAAACACTAGCAATTTATTCTATATATATATATATATATATAGAGAGAGAGAGAGAGAGAATATATATATATATGACTACTTTGAATGAATAAAAAAATATTAGAAAGTATTATTTACAACGTGGCACTAGATTTCTAATATTCAAATAAAAACTAAAAATGGAAATAATTAAGGCAAAATCGTAAGACTTATTAATAAATAATAGAGCATCTCTGACCAAAGTAATTTATTTATTTCTTTAAAAACTTAGACGTTGGAATGCGACTTCTACACGTATGGTGGATATATGTAAAACTACAAACTACTATATATGCATGTATATATATGCGTATATGTATGCACAAATGCAATAATATATGACATACATATACGCATATATAACTGTGCTTATATGATTTTTCACGTTATCTCTTATATATATATATATATAATCATATCATTATATATGATTATAGAATAATAATAGTTTAGTATTTCAATAGCAATAATCAAATTTCATTCTGTTGTTCAGATCTCCTGCACTAATTTCTTTACAAGTATTCACTATCTTTTCTTTTCCTACTCCACATTGGTATAGAAGTTGTTATTTACAAAATGTACATAACTCAATTCCGCAGAATACAAGTTTAAGATTTAACTGGTCTCTTTAAACGTATTTTTACGCGAATGTATATTTATTATTATTATTATTATTATTATTATTATTATTATTATTATTATTATTATTATTATTATTATTATTATATTAATATTATATTATTACTACTATCATTATCATATATTTCATGTATAATATCTACATATACATTTTTATTAACGACGATTAACAATCTACTATTTAGTAATGCAGTTTGTATAAAAACTGAAGAGCATCTTCGAAACTTGGTTCGACCGTGGAAGTGTGAAATCTATTAGGCATCTATCGGAAGTCTGTTATGTTATTTTGTTGCTGTTTTGCATTTTTTTTCTCGACGGTATCATTGTAAAATACACACTATATCTACACAAACCTTTATCCACACACCACTGAGCTTATATTAAAAGATACATATTTTGTTATTATATATATACATGCGTACAATATATATATAATTAATATAAATAATTTGTTAATTGGGAAATGTGGGACAATGAATTGAATTTGATTGAAGGATTGTTAATTCAAAATGAAAAATAAGTCCCTTATTTTCTTCACTAGCAAATCATTATTTGGAAGCCAATAAATGACTATATTTCCAATGCAATCCCAAGTGAATGAATTCACTTGTTCTGTTTTTTTAATCGCTTAATAAAATAGAACAAATTTTAGAATTATGTGCTTATTATCTCTTATGTTGTATTCTGGAACATAACTTCATTATCTGCGTATTTGTTTCTCAAACTATTTTCAAATGGATCAATATTGAATTGTTCAATATTAAATCAATCAACAATGAAAGACACACTAATACGCTTTTTCCTTTTTTTCTTTTTACAATTATTTACAAAAAGATCATATATTTTACATATTAAGTTCTTCTATGAAGGCGTATTAAATATTCATTCTTATAATTGTTCATGTTTTAATCTGACACAAATATGTTTGTCATTCGTCAAATTTGAAAATTGTTCGAGAGACAAAGCCATTCAAAATGGATCGTATATTAATCATGTCTTAAATATTAAATAATAGTAGCACACAGGGAAATTACACGCTACAATATTGTGGTGCTAGGGAAAAATAAAGTTATCTTTTTATAGACTGATGATAACTGAGCAGTCTATGATTAATTAGTTTTTAATCTTTTTTTTTTATACCGCAACAAACAGAGAGAAGGCACCTTAAAAATCTGTGATGTATCCAGCACCTATATATTATTTGGTTTAATTATACCACTTTCAATAAATATTATTAGAGAAGAAGCTTATGGATTTTTTGATGTTTCAATTTGGTCCATTCTATCTTTTTTCTTTTTTTCATTTTTGTGGAAATGGAGAACTTATCGTGTCCGTTAATTATAATTGCCTGTTATATTATATTTATGAAGATATTAATCAAGCACATTCATCAATATAATTAGAAAACGCATTTGAATCTCGCTATCTTTCTTTCATTTATCCTTCGAAAATTGTTGCATTGATCACATGTGTTTGTAGACCAGATTAAACAAAATTTCTTCAAAATAAAAGATTTTCTTTTTGACTTAATCAAAATTTCTCAATAATTTTCAAAAAATCAATAATTGAAGGACATCATAAATCTATATTGAAAATTTAGGTAATGCTATTGGGATCAATCCATTTGAAAAAAACAAAAACAAAAAATAAAATTACAAGAAGAGTATACTATTCTAATGGATACTATTCTTTTTTTCAGTCTTGCCTAGTCTATGGTCTTGTGGATACAAATCCGATGATCGTTTACTCTTATTACACACAACTAATTTATTTAAATGTATTCCTTTAATTTTGTTTTCTTCTGTAGTATAATAAAATGCATTAAGAGAGATTATCACTGTTCGAGATATAATCTTGCTATAAATTTTAAAACAGTGGATGTGTATAATAGAAATGTGTATATAAATATAAGCCTGAAAAACTTAAGTATTATATATCTAATTATCAGTTTTCGCACAGATCTGAGTAATTATGATAGCCATTAGACAGATGAATCTTCGTTCTGCTTGAAAACGAATCAATGATACAATTACATTAATTTAGGCAATATATTATACTTGGAAAATATATTCGAGAAATTATATAACATAAAGTACTGCTTTGGATAAATAATAATAGTAATAATAATAATAATAATAATGATAATAATAATAATAATAATAATAATAATAATAATGACGATGATGGTGGTGATGATGATGATGATAATAATAATAATAGTAATAATAATAGTAATATTAATAGTAATATTAATAATAATAGTAATAATAAATCTTAAAATTAGAAGTTTTAACGGATCAAAAAATTGGAGAATTGAAAAAATATTGTTAAACTAAATTTTCGATCTATATACTAGATCTTCGATCATAGTATAGAAAAAATAAAAAATTATATAAAATATATACGATATTATACCGTTACATACGTAGCAACTTTATACACTCTGTGTATTGTTAAATTTCATATACACAAATCTACATTAGCATTAGACGAAATCATTTACCTGTCGCCTTGTCAGTTATTTTTTTCTTTTTTTCTATAGCTACCATTATCTTTAGAACAATTGTTATTTTACTCAAATAGAGAAAATATTATTAACATTTGTGATCAATCCGTTGCAATGTTTCACTGTCCCAAACAAGTAATATCTTCAAAGGCAAAGAATTTGTACGTCTGTTGTTACCCATAATACTATTTCTCATAATGTGAACATAATATTGCTATCTACAACTTAAAGCAAGATACGCTTTTTTCCTTTCTGCTTTGAACAAAAATATATTCAAATTTTTATTGCTTCCTTGTTGCATATTTTATCCGTATAAAATGTATTTATATTTATAAAGGAACGAAAAGAAGATATATTGCTTTAAGACAGTAACACATTATGACATATCAAGACTGCTAAACAAATACGAAAAGCATGTGCATATATTTGTATTATCATATATATCTTCGATAATAATATAATATATTGATTCTGACTTAATATGTAATTCATATATTAAAAGTATTTTATTATTTTCTTCTTCTTCTTTTATCGATCTCGAATAAGGGAAAACAAAAAAATGTTATTCTTTACAATGCAAATATTAAAGGATAATTTTAAATAATTTATAAAAAGAATAAAAAGAACAAAAAACAATATGATCAATAGCCTTTGTTTTCCAAATATAGAATTTTCTGTGTACTCTGTGTTATAAGATATAAAGAAAATATAAATAATTTAACGTATACTATTATATTTAGATCTATCTATATATAAATAATTTAATTAAATTTTACTGTAACACGATCCTTTCAATAGGGCATTTTTTGGTCTATATACAATGCACAATAATCTTGTGCTAATTGGAAAAAATTTCCAACCACTAATTTGTACAAGTTCTATTTGTACACCAACTTATTGATCAATCACTTATAGTATAAATATCTATCAACTACATTCTTCACTTTCACTTCATGAAACATTCAGAGTTTTCATAGCAAAATAACTTTTGCAATAGAGACGTCAGTTTAGACTTCTCAAGAGTAAGCTCTGAAAATCAATTAGATCAGTAACATCCTCTGTTCATGAAGATGCATCAAATCAAAGTGGTAATCAAATATTTAAGTTTGTGGACCAAACACAAACTTTCATCATTCTTGATATAGTTATATCATTCAAATAGAAGTGCACATATTTCTATTAATAGGTAATTAAACCCATGTTAACATAAACTGTCGGCTTGATAAGCAGACTGTAGTACACATTAAAGGTAATTTGCACCTTTTCATGTTGTTGATGTAACATCGTTCGTAGAAGCTGCTTCAGTTGATGTTGTCACAGATGTTGTGATGGGAGTTAAAGGGATAATATTTGTTTGCTCTGATGTGTGTGTTCGTGAAATAGTTTCTTTCTCTGTACACAATTTCTTGTGCTCTTTATGTTCCGAGCTTGACTTGCGTTTATGACTCGAACTCGTTGAATGTGAATGACTTGATCCTGCTGTATCATCTTTACTCGAACGACTGCTAGATGATCTCTTTTGTCCGTCTCTTCCGTGACTGTGATGATTGTCTTTTCGTTTTTCTAATTTCTTT